GCAGATGGAAGGAACAGCAAATGCAAAGGCCCAGGAAAATACCTGGAAATTTCTAGGAAAAGCAAGGAGGCCAGTGTACCTGGAACAGAATGCCTCAAGAGAAGACCAGTAGAACATGAGGCCAGAAAGAAAAGAGAGGACAGACCTTGTGAGGTTTTGTAAGCCACTTCAGGGACTTCCCTTTTTCACGAAGGGAAATATGAAACCACTTGAGTTTTGTGCAGAAGAGTGACAGGATCTAACTTATAGAGGAGACCATCATTGTGGTTGCTATGTTAAAAGTAGATTGTAAGGAGGCGAGGTAACACAGAAAGATTTGCTAGGAAGCTATTGAACTAATTCAGGTGACAGATGATGGTGGTTGGTGAGTAGTTCAGGTGAAGAGCTTCTGGCAAAAGTAATAAAAAGTGGTGGGGATTATATATATTTTGAAAGTTGAAACTACAGAATTGGCTGGTTGACTGTAGATTACCATCTCTCTCTATGAAAGAGAGAATTCAAAAATGTTTACAAGTCTTTTGAGCCTGAAAACCAAAGCAAAAGGTTTACTGATATAGGAAAGATCTATGGGAATAAACAGGTAGAGGGGAGATGGGAAAATCAGAAGCTAGATTTGAGGCAAGTTTACTTGCAGAAGTTTAATAGACACATCCAAATGGTGACATAGAGTTGGAAGTTGGTTAAAGAAATTCAGGAAAGAGATTTGGACTGGACATATGCATTTTGGAGCTGTTAATTTATAGATGAAAATCTATAAGGCTGAATAAAATTCCCCAAAATGTGAAAGTATATAGAAAAGAAAGAAGTCAAAGTTCAGTCTTAGGGTAGCCCTAACATATTAAGTTTAAAGAGATGAGGGAAAATGGGAGAAAACAGTCAATAAAGTGGGAGAGAAATCAGTAAATGTATTCTTCTGAAGCCAGGTGAAGAAAGTAAAAGAGAAGTGAGAACCCATGTCAAATGCTGGCAATTAGATCAAGTAAGATGAAGACTAAAAATTGACCATTGGTTTAGCAATATAATCAATATTTCTTCTCACTGGGGAGAAGCAAATGATTAAACCAACAACCAGACAAACTGCCTTACTTAAAGTGCTCCTTACATAATCTGGCTCCCATCCTTTTCATGAACTAATCTGATTTTTGAATTCTTTATCTTGTTTTATTATGTACATTAATCAATTCCTTATGTCTGTGCCTTGCCTGATTTTATGTTAATATTTTCAAGTTGACTTTTACAAAAATTTTGTGAGGGAAATAAGCAAATGTTATTATCATTGTTTTGTAGAACATAGTTTGTAGAGAAGATCAATTCAGCCACGGCCTTCTGACTACTAGGACCTTACCCTGTTCCTTTAATTCCCATAAAAAGAGGAACTGATGCTCCTTTTTAAAAAATTTCAGAGAGGAAGGGAGATGGAGAGAGAGATAGAAACATCAATGATGAGAGAGAATCATTGATGGGCTGCCTCCTGCACACCCCATACTGGGGATTGAACCTGCAACCTGGGCACGTGCCCTTGACAAGAATTGAACCCAGGACCCTTCAGTGCTCAGGCTGAACTCTAGCCGCTGAGTAAACTGGCTAGGGCTGATGCTTCCTTTCTTGTTCTTTGGACCTTTCTTGATGCATTGCTCACTTCTTTTCATACCTTCTATTTATTCTTACTTAATCCCTTGAATTTTGGTCCCCGGATGTTTTTTGCACAGCTGCACACCATGACCTTTAAGGACAAATATCAGTATGACTTTAGAGCTTCATGGAATTTAGACTTCTGCCAGGCTCCAAATCCAGAGGCTAGTTTTTATATCCCCTCCTCTCCAGCCTTTCCTACAGGATTTACTTCCTCCTAGCATAGGAGAAAAGCTGGGTAAATGACCAGCACTGTACCATTAAACATGCGTCTACCATTCTCTGTTACAAAGATGAGAATTACAGGGCCCAACATCCAAGCACCCAATAAATCTTGTGATTGTAATCTCATATATTATCACAGTATATGTCCTCTTTCTTCTTCTTCTTGATTTTTTCTAAGAGTTTTGCTTCCTTCCACCCTTATATTCAAACATCAGAAATCCATATACTATTGGCATATTGAGGAGATCATATTGTTATGGATAGCCATCATCCATGTTCAGGTTGACAGCCCAGTGATGGTCACTCACTACCATAAGTTTATGCACATGAGCATGCATGGGTACAATTATTGGGCTTAATCACAATTTTTAAATGATAAAATATAAGTCACAAAAATCATGCAGGCAGTGGATGTATCACTGCCAAATTTCTGGTTGTCATATTGTATATTAATTAAGCAATTAATTAAGTTTCTATTGGGGACAACTGGGTGAAGAATATATGATACCTCTGTATTTTTTTAAACTGCATGTGAATCTGAAATTACATAAAAATAAAGTGTTTTAAAATTTATGCAGGCAAAAAGACATTCATGGGCAGATTTCTTTTACGGAGACCATCAAACTGTTATGATGATGGGAAAGGAATGCACTAGGGAAACTACTGTCTTATGCAGAATCTACAATGCTGGCCTTTCAGAGTGGAGTGAGAAAGTCACAGAGGTAAACAGTTACACAGCAATCAGGGAAGAGAAATGTGGTAATATATATATATATATAAATTTTAGCACCAAATACAGTAGTGTTGTTTGCAGTATTACTGTGACTATAGATCCACCTTCAATCAGCTGCCACACTCCCAGTCAGCCATCTGCTTTGGGACCATTTTTTTTCATAAAAATTATTTAATCTATGTATCTAGTTGGTCATAGTTTCAGCTTTTAAAGCTAAACCAAACATGCTGCCCTTGTTTCCGTTCCATTCTTTTTAGTCATCTGCCCTGCCTTTCCTTCCCTAGGAATCCGTAAGATCATTGACTCCACCTACGGAAGAGAGGCTTCTGACCCACCGCCTAATATATAAGTTCACGAGTGAAAAGCCCATTTTTTCATTCTATTTAATTACAGGCTTCAGAGACACTCAGAATGAAGGGTGTCTTAGGGACAAATAATACTGTAGGCTTGGTTTACTTATCTCCTATTGGCATTGGCACCAAGCCCTTCCTGTGCTTTGAAATTCATGGCTGTGTCTGTGGCTGCATACTAAACAGACCGAGGCCGCCACAGCCTGCTTAGTGTCCAGATGCAGCTCGGCTAATCCATATACCTTAATGGCCAGTTCAGAATGGTAGTTTAGATAACTAACATGGCTGGCTTGTTTCTAGAGCAATCTATGTATGTGATCATAAATAAATTAATATATAGTCATCTGAATTAGATTCAGTGAACTCTATGGGGTTTGAACTACAACATGCTTGTTCTGAATTCTAGATGACTTGAATTTGCCTATAGAAATATCTGTACAAAAGGAGTAGATTACATATAGAGAATTCTTTTAAAATTAAACATATAAGAAACTAACAGTGAAAAGTAAATTTACCTTCTACTTTTATTTCCTGACTCTCCCTTTTATTTTTTATATACATTTTTATTGGTTTCAGAGAGGAAGGGAGAGATAGAAACATCAATGATGAGAGAGAATCATGCACACCTCCCCCACTGGGGATTGAACCAGCAACCCAGGCATGTGCCCTGACCTGGAATAGAACCGTGACCTCCTGTTTCATAGATCAATGCTCAACCACCGAGCCACGCTGGCCTGACTCAGACTCTCTCTTTTACAGTTTAATAGTTTCAAGCAGAGACAGCCTATGTATATATGAGTATATATGTTTAAGTTTTATATGGTAAAAAAAAAACAGTTTAACTATATTTGTTTATTTATTACATAAAAGGTAGCATGATTGTAGAACACAATGTTCTACATTTTATTTCCTTTAATTAATAACTCATGGAAGCCTTTTCACAACAGCATCTGTGATCTTCCATTACCTTTTTAAACAGTGGCCTAGTATTCTGTTGAGTGGATATAATCATTTTGCATTTAATCAGTCGCATTTTGATGGAGACTGGCTGTTTCCAATATGTTGTTATTAGCAACAATGCTTCAGTGAACATCATTGCTTGTAATTATTTGTGCCACATGTAATAATATCTGTAAGACACATCCCTGAAAGGAGAATTCATGGCCAAAGGATATATTCAGTTTTTAGATTAAGAAATAGTGCCTAACTCCCTTCCAGGGAGGCTATACAGTTTTCCCAACCATGTGTGAGAAGGCTTGCCTCCCCACATCTATCTCCTCTCACTATATTATCAATTTTTTAAACTTGCCAATATGATTATACTTGTAAGTTATATTTCTCTAATTGTGAATGTGCTTAGGCATTTGAAGATTCTTTCCATCTAACCACTCAGTTGTTCATCATTCCCTAAATAACATCTATTCCACACTGCTATGAAATGGCAATAAAAATAAATCTCTATGTTTATTCTCACTTATTTCTAAACTATCCTTGTACAATAATCTTATTGTTTATGTGCAACAGTACCAATTTTTGTATATTTTTCTACTACAAGAGTATCTTAATATATAGTAGTTAATGACTCTTCATTGTTCTTTTTCAGAATTTCCCTAAGTATTTTGGCAAACATTTTTGTTGGCAGCTGTGTTGGAGTTGTTTTATTAAAATAAGCATTGAAATATGACCTGTTTAAAAATAAGGTGTGATCATTTTATGAGGCAGGAAAAGCTTTATGCCCAAGGTTAGGTAAGATCTGGGACTAAAAACGATGTGTAGGAAAAGAAAAGCAAAGAGGACCAACAAAGGGGAGAAAGCCAAGTAAATGTTCCAAGTACAAAAAAGATTTTATATAAAACCCAGAAATACCCTGGAATAAAACATGCACTTGAATATCCTAAGTTCTTTAAGCAGCCAGCTAGTGTTACAGATCAGCATGTATAACCCTGGCTTTTAAGGGCTTGACAAACAGTTCCAAGGTTCTGACCTTAACCTGAAATTCCTTGAACTCTCGGTACCTGTGACCACACACCCAACATTCCTACCCCCAGCATGCACTTTACCAGTCACAAGGAGCCATCATTAATGAGTGCTCTGGTAGGAAGCATAATTTATAGAGAAGCTAGCAAGTTCTGAGGAAGAGGGAAATTAACACGGACAGCAAACCACTATCTTTGAGCAGCTTGTCCTTTAAGCATGTCGAGATCCAGTCCTTTTAGTTTCACTTCAGTGATCTCCAAAATGGGAACCTGGAGTTTGCCACTATTCCAGGTAACATCTCTCTTTCTGGGAAAAGATTTTCAGAGGTACTCTAAGGACCTGATTGGTTATTGATTTGTTATTTGGGGAAACTTAACTCATACATTTCAAAGATTTCCTTTAAGGAAGTGTTACCAGGATTGTATTACTACTTACATTTATTGGTCAAAGCTACAGAAAACAAAATGACCCACGCTATTAGTCTTATTTCTACTTTATTTAGTTCTATTGCTATTGAAGTAAGATGATGCAATGTAATCTTTGCTATGCTGTGAAACGTTTTTTTAGAATAAAAATATCATATCATATCAAAATGCTATGATAGGGCTAATTTAAGACATATTTGTTTACTCTTGCCTGCAACCACACTTGATGCTTGAGTGTTTCCCATTGCTGAACAATGTAGACAGAACTATGGTAGTTTACTTTGTTTCCTCTACTCTAGCATCTCACTCAAGAGTAATACCTGAATCTCTGCATATGTGTTACTTGAATGCAAAGTATCTGAATGATTTAGTTCTGAAATATATTAAGACTTTGCTCCCCATTTCCTGACAACCCGGAGTCTGACAGCTACTGCCTTGGCTGAGGGGTGGTACTAATGTGATACTATGTGCTCACTCCTTGCTAGGGTATAGCACACCAGAAGATTAGGAAATGACTTCAATGTGAAACGCTGGCTTTACTTGTTTATCTGTTCAACTGGATCCCAAATGCTTTCATCTAGTCATACATAAACTCTCTTTATGGACAAAATTTGAATGTTCATTTTCCTCCCAGTTAGTATCCAAATCTATTTTCAGCATTCTAGCAAAAGAGAGTACAAGTCATGTTCTGTGCTTATAAACTGTTCATTACCACGCTCTCTGACGGCCAATTCATGGCTCCATCTGTGACTCCACAAATCTCTTTGCCCAGATAAACCTGGTGGAGTAAATATAAGGTGCTGACAAAGATGCGTTTGAGATTAATAATAAGAAAAAAAAAAGACATCTCCCACAAAATTCCTATGTGCATCATTTCAAATTTTTGTAACTACTTACTTGGTTTTATACTTCTGTGTTATAAACCAGGAAAAGTCATGCTTCACTAACCTCATGAACCCATATTTAGGACTATTTAATAAAGGACATTTAAAGATGTTTCTGTTGTACACAGGAGGAGTCTCAAGTCAAGGGAAAAACAAACAAAACCTTAAGAAAGGAGCACTTCATTTCCTCTGTGATGTGAGTTACCGTAAACTGTAAGGCTCAACACATAGAGCTAGGATATTGTGTAGGATTGCTTACGCTTTGGGTCTTTTAAAACAAAGCCATGAAGACTATTACTTTTCCCTTCTTCTTTGATAAAGAGAGAAATGTAAATTTCAACAAGAATGTCATGTGCTCTTAAACTGACCTTTGCCTTAAAGCAGGTTAAAGTCACTCCTTCATGCATATATTTAATACCCAATAATGCTAATGGCATGGACTTCTGTTTTATGTAGAGAACTTGATGTCTGTATGTGAAAATAATAAAATAATTAACCTCCTCCATCTAGCTAAAATTTGAAAACAAAGAAAAAAAAGCAAGATGTATAAAAGCTTTTTAGAGCAAGCAAAATCTGCCTATAGAAAAAAACAAAAAGATTTTTTCATCTATCTATAATTATGTGTAGGATAGAAATCTGGTTTACAATACATATCTCCTGTCACTGCTGAGCTGGAAAATCTACCCAGAGATTGTTTTTTGTTTTGTTATGTTTTTTCAATTAAAATTCTGTTTGCCTGACAATAGCCGAGTCGGCTGTGAGCATTACTTACAGAAACAAAATTATAAAAACCCACATTGTCTCTAAGTGTTGTTGTATTAAAGGATTAGACTGATGAGATGTTTGGATTTTATTTGTTCTAAACATGTGTTTCAGTTGGTGCTCTCGGACCCACCATGTGAAGAAAATGAAATGTGAGTAAATAGCAAGAGACATTTTCAAAATTCAAAGAATAAAAAAAGGGCTCAAGTTTTAAGAAACCCCAAATGAGTTTCAAATGACAATTATAACCATGCAAGAAAAATAGAGGTAAATTGTTTTAAATGCAAATGGCTCGATTTTTCTAAAAGCAGGGAAAAATGCACTTTTATTATGATCAGCTTTGTTAAATAAATAAGGGGCCTAGTTAATTTATAGGTATTTTTGCTCACAGCAGTCTCCACCTTTGAGGTTTCAGGGTACTTTACATTCATGAAAGAATTATTACATCCTATATGGCTCCATACATACCCATAAATCATATTGGTGATGGGGGGTAGCTTTCTGGATAAATCAGTTTCAAATACAAGCAGATTAATGAAATTTCTAACCTGTATTATGTGTAGCTTTCAAAGTGCAGATATACAGTTGTGGGGGCTAAAAATTTATAATAATAAAAGTGTAATATGTTAATTAGACCAGAAGGCTGAACAGTGGAACGACTGTCCAGACAACCTTCCAGACGACCTTCGGGATGAAGCCAGGGCTGTGAGGGCCGAGCCCCTTGCACGAATTTCATGCATCAGGCCTCTAGTATATATAATACTTTTCCTTCCATCTTCTATGTTTTTCTGAAAGGGCTAACAATTAAATTAATAGAGACAGGTTGATAGGAGGAAACCAGAATTTTAATACATGGCCATGGGAAATTCACATAAGCATGAAAATTCCAAATATAATTGGGCAAAATTGGGTGTCAATGTCATTTTTGCAAAGAAGAAAGAAGGGGACTGGATCTTAGATTGCAAAAGTGAGACGGGGCCATTTTTGGGTAACTGAGGAGAGGAAGAGTAGAACATACAAGGCAGTAGTATTTGCTGGGAAACTCAGAAACAATGGAACACAGGGTATCTAGCTAATTGGACTTTGACTGAAGCCCTCTTATTTATCCTACTTAATTTAAATTAAACTAAGGTTAATATCCTAAGGTCCCCTTCTTTGAGTAGGCTTTCCCATCTGAATCTCTTAGAAAAGGAAAAAGTCAAAGGTTGATTCTGAATCTTTTGTTTTCTAAAAAGCTTAAAATGAATATCCCAAAAGGCAAAAGTTTGGTTCCCTTCTCAGTCATGTGTCACTTAATGACTGGGATACATTCTGAGTTCTTAAATTTATCAAAGTAATGAGTTTATAGTTTATCGTAGGTCCACAAATTATCAGCAGTGAAAACAGTAGTAAAGATCAATGCTCACTTTTCCCAGATTTCTTTTTTTTCATCATTATTATTTCAATTTCACCAAGCATATATAAATATCTGAGCAATAACTTTATCTTAAAAAATGTAACTTTTACTACACTGAAAATCTTACATCTAAAATTTGAGTAATTGGAATATTATCACCGTTCGGATATTTTTTTAATAACACAAAGAATTTCTGTTTAAAAATTGAACTTGAGAAAGACATAGAAATAATGATGTGGAAGAAAGTACACCAAGTCCGAAGACCCATATTGTAGTTTAAGTTTTGGGGCAGCTAATGACCTCCCCAATTATTTTTCCATTCTGGGTCTCAGTGGTAAAGTATGTAAAATCCTAAGGGGGAAATAAATTATCCCAAAGGTTCCTGTAGTTCCTAAATTATATGATCACTTTGCATTTCTTCAGCTAACTGCTTCTAGACCATTTTGTTACATATCAGAAAATCCATCAGTAGGTTCACAGATTCAGACAGAGAAAGTGAAGTAAGTCAGTTTGCAAAACTGTTAGCACTGGAAAAAATATTGAGTGACTAAAAAAATTAAACTTAGGAAATAAAATGAGGTAGTTAAATTTAGAATCTATAATAATAAAAGCATAATATGCAAATTGACTGAATGGCCAAACAGCAGAACGACCATCTGAGTGACCATCCGGACAACCATGCTATGACACCTACTGGTGCCAGGCCAGCCAAGATGGGTGCGATGCGATTGGTTGGGGTCTTGGCTATTGCCCCATGATCACCCTGCAGAGGGAGGCCCAGGCCACTGACCAGCGAGCTGTGGCAGGTGGGCGGGGCCTCCCCCTGTGGAGGTGATTGATCGCAGGGCTCCCAGACTGTGAGAGGGCACAGGCCAGGCTGAGGGACCCTCTTCCCCCCCAGTACATGAATTTCATGCACCGGGCCTCTACTTGACAGTATAATAAGTATATAGCCTATTTTTAAATGTAAAGAAAAGAAGCAGAGATTTATATATGAAGGGAAATGAAACAATCCACATTCCTGATCATGAGCTTAGATTTCAAGACTCAAAAACAAGAACCTTCTGTTACTTTATTTGGCTAAATCACCAAGAAAAGTTTCCTGCATCCATCTCTAAAGTAGGACACTACATTTAAAAAAATTATATATTTCAATGTGATATTTAAATTTTTATGACTACAAAAGTGATGTATGTACATTATAAAAATTTAACCAATATAAAAATATTGAAAAGATAAAGTGCCTCATGACATCCATCTTCAAGTGAAGCAAACATTGTTAGTAATTTGATGTATGTGTATATATAACTATATCATACTTATTTTTTGAAATCATTATATTTGTATTAAAATGTATCCAAAGTAGAAATTATTCTCTTTATTATTTTACTTATCAAGGATTTTAACTATAAATATAAATCTACATTTTTGATGAGTATATATTTCTTTAAAAGGAAGTACCATTAATTATTTTTAAAATCCTCTATTGATGATCACTTGTCTTAGGATGCTTTTTTGAAAAGTCACACTTCAGCTGTCATTTTTCCTAGCCATCTATACCTGTGCATCTCTGCATTTGGCTAAATTCTCTAGGTGCAAAACAAACACCCCAAAAACTTATTCTCTGGATGATTGAGTTTTGTCTTTAATATTTGGGGTAAAATTTTTAAGTTGACAATCACATATGTTAAAAGTCATTTCTGAAGAGTAGTGTGATAAACAGGACACACTTTCTCCTCAGGGAGGCTGTGAGCAATAAATTAGCTGACATTTATGAAAGCTTTCAAGCTGAAATGTGCCGAGTGTTATTTTAACAAAGGCTGAAGAAAACATGATTAAGTGCAGCGCCATCTCAGAAGCTTATCGGGCTGTGATGAACAGCCTTCAACTCGTTAATCCCAGAATACTGTAACAGCAGTCCATCTACCGAGGTTGAAAAATGTCCATCAGCAAACATACATTCAAAGCACTATGTGTGGGGACAGCACATGTGTCTAAACCTGGGGAGTAATACCTCCTAAAAATCACACTGTGAACCAAAATGTGATCTTTTTCTGTGTGATCTTTTTAAACTTACCTTAAGAACAGTTAAGTTATGCTGAAGCACATAAATGGTTTGGCCATCCTTATTCACAGATCAACTTCTCTTTGGTACATGGTGTGTATGGCCACACTCATTCATTTTCCTTTCATCCTAATTTATTTTTCCAACCAGAATTGCAGGGCTCCTATTCTCTACCAAGACATCCAAGGTTAATAGGCTCTATGACCTTCCCTGGATAATTTGCATTTCAAAGGACTGCAGGTCTCTGAATAGACAGAATAGTGGAATGGTTATCTCCTAATACCTATCACATGGTAGTCCTGAAAAGTTAGTCACTATCTTCTCAATGTACTACAGTATTTTTAACTCCGGCTCAAACCTATTACTATGCGATTATCTGTTTTTAAGTATCTGACAGTTTCCACTCACATGTATCCTCGGCGCCTTGAATGATGTGGACAAATGGGAAACATTTACCAATTGTGCTGGCGGCCTTGTAGTGAGTAAATCATTGTTGGGGAAACTGGTGTAATCAGAAAAAATATTATGGTGCAAAAGAGTAGGTTTGGGCCACTTAGAGGTCCGGCACTAATTGTTCTTTCTTTGTCACCAGGCACATAAACTATAAAAATCAATACCCAAATGACTGGTATATCTGGTAAGGACATCTTCACTTCTATATATATAAAAGCCTTAGGGACCATTATGATCAAATGACCAGAACAACCAGAATGACCAGTTGACCAGTTGCTATGATACACACTGACCACCAGGGGGCAGATGCTCACTGCAGGAGCTGCTCCCTGGTAGTCAGTGTGCTCCCACAGCCAATCTCCCATGGCCCCTTTCCTGGGCCAGCTTGCCCCCTTGACAGGCTGGCCAATCTCCTGGGGTCCCTTCCCCTGGCCGGCTGGCCCCCTGATAAATCTTGATCACCAGCCAGGCAAGGGACCCCACCCATGCACAAATTCATGCACCAGACATCTAGTTGTTTTATAAAAATCTTTGGTAGTATATACATATTCCTTTTACTAAGTAACTGCTATGGCACATGAAACCATACCTATTAAGAAAATAATAGAGGTCATGTGAATCAATATATGTAGAAACATTACTTTCAGGTTGTTGTCCAGTGTTTACTTAAGTGTTTTCTATAAGAGGGAACTTACTATTTCTAAGAATAATAATAATTTTCTCCCTGGTTGAAAATCTTTAAAAGTAAAATTATTCTTCCTTCTCTTGATATCTTCTGAAATGCCTCTTCCACTGATTTTAGTTCTGGCCTTAAAAATCATTCAAAATAAAACTGCTGCCTCTTTTATGAGTTAGACTTTTGGAAATTTTAAAAGTTATTATACCATCCTAAATCTTGACTCTTGTATTTTACAAATTAAACATTACCAATTTTCTCCTTTACGTAGCTCCTCAAAGACAGAGACTATGTCTTGTCCACCTTTTCTTTTTAATTATTGACTTCAGAAAGGAGGGGAAAGGGAGAGAGAGAGATAGAAACATCAATAATGAGAGAGAATCATTGATCGGTTGCCTCCTGCAAGCTCCCCAACTGGGGATTGAGCTCACAACCCAAGCATGTGCCCAGACCGGGAATCTGAACTGTGACCTCCTGATTCATAGGTCAATACTCAACCACCTACCCAAGGCCAGCCAGGCTTATCTTGTCAACCTTTGAATCCCCAACCCCAACATCTAAAGTCTGCTCAGTTGTTTAATCCTGGTGGAATGAATGGATTTATGGTTGAATGAAAGGAAAAATGGGTAAGAGGATTGTAGAACCAAGACACTGCCCCCAAGAACAACCTTCCAAATTTCAAAGAGAAAACAATTATAATCATCTGGCAAAATCAACCCACTCTGAGCTCAGCTTATATTCCAGGTTCAGTGAAAATGTGCAAATGGTGGTGGTGGTGTGGGGAGGGGTTGCTTAAGGAATTCAGCCTCTCACATTGCTTGTAGCCAGTCTTTCTGAGTTCTTGCCCCCTTTTCAGGGTGTAATAGGAGTCTTAAGTTTCCTGCGTGCTCCACCTCAATCCTCTTCTGATTCTTCTGGCACCAGGTTCTTGCTCCTAATTTTCCTGGTGGCTCTGCTATGTGGAGCAGTGCTCTTCTGCCTTCCCTGCTGGCTGAGGAGATGCGGGATCAGTTCCTCAAGACGCACCGTGGCTGTTTTTGCTGTCGGCGACTTGGACCCTGTTTATGGTAGGCTCTCTGCACATTTCTGGCCTTGGTCTTTGAAACCTTATGATTTTGTGGTGAATTAGAAATCTAATCTCTGAAAATCAGATTTGTGAACTTACAACAAGACATAGTTTATCGAAGATTGAAAGGCATGCATTGGGGAGAGAGTCTAAGTGAGAAAACTTCAGAAGAAGGGAGACCCTCAATAGAAAAAATCACGTGTCTTAAGAAAATGATTTATAGTTAAGTATGGGGATAGAACCTAAATATTTTGCTCAGTTGACATGAAGAAAAGAGGAGCTATACAAGGTTGGTCACTTCAAGTGAGTGTAGGGTTTAAGGTGCAGAGAAGTATTTCTGAGTTTTTTATCAGTCCATACTACCCTGTGTTCATTGTCTCATTTACTAAACTCTCTATACCTCACTTACCTACAGTAACATTGAACCACACTTTTCAGATTGCTGCCAATGCAGAATCTGAAAATTTGGAATTGGCAGGGGGGGTATAAATATTCATATTTTTTCTTCCCAGACACATTGGCAGCATCCTAATCCTGCTTTCTTCCACCCCTGCCCTTCAAATCACACCCTTTCTATTATTGTCCAGTCTTCAGTAGGAGGTAAGGAATGGAGAAAACTGAGGTCATAGAGTCATTGTTAATTCCAGGCCTTGTCCTCACCCAGAACATCTGTTCTGAGACTTTCCGTCTAAATCACAGCACTGTATACCACAATTGCCTCTAGAGTGCTTAGTAGAGATTGACAACTGCACTTCAGAAACTTAGGCCAGATAAGATTTCCCATAGAGAGTGTAGGGCATGTTCTGGAAAACCTAAAAGCAAAATAAAAAGTGGGATGTGAATAAAATAAAATGTTTTAATATCAAAATTCATTACTGTAAGGTTTGGTGATTATATTCACTATTGACTTTCTTAAAGTCATTATTTACCCAGGGAAACAGTGTCAATCTGAGAAATAGGTGTTTGGAGAAATAATAAAATCTCCAATGAAAATAGTTCTTTCTCGTAAACTTAAAATTACTGTCCTCTGATCACAGAGTAAAATAGGATCACTGACCTTTTAACAAAATACATGAATCAAAGGGGTCAACACAGTAATTTTGGTCTTATTTTCTTTATTTAACTAGAGGTATTCAATAAACAAATACAGTTATGTTCCTTTCAACTTACTTGAGTTTCTAAAGAGGAGAATTCCCCCTGGTCCTCTTAGCCCTACTGTTACTCTAAGGAAGACTTTTCTAGACTTCCTGGAATCTTTAAATATATATTTAATTTGAGTAAGTTACCCACTTTTACTGCTATCATTTTAAGACAATCTATGTGCCACGGTTATATCCCAAGTTATCTAATGTTTTCATATTTCCTGGATGGTGATTCATATGCATGCTTTTGAATTTACCTGAACTTGTCTGAGCAGGTATGACTGAGAGAAGGGATCAAGGCTGATATGCTTCTTCAGAAATCTGCATGTAATAGCACTAAGTGCAGGGCATTAGCTTCACACTCTCTATAGTATCCTGAAGTCATTATGAACAGGAAAGAAAATACTTGGGGAAAATTGTTTTGTTTTCTTTAAATAACATAGTCCCAATTTAATTCACATCTACCAAGTGTTAGGCAGTAGGTCAAGGACTTCTCAGAGATTATCTCTAGTTCCTAAAAACGGCTTGGAAAAGTAGCTATTACTTCTCTCAGAGGATGTTATCTACTTTTCTCACTCTATTGAATAAATGCACCACATAGATCTTTGCTGTAAGTCAACTAATCGACTTCAACTTACCCAGAATTAAGGTTAGGAAGCTAAACAAAATATGGGCAGGCACTCATGGTTTAGCCACCTACATTAAGTACAACCTATATCCTGTGTCTCCAGATGTTTCCATATTGCAATTCCTTAATGATAGAGACTGCTCTCCAGAGTCCTCATTCCCTTCCTTATTCTCTCCATTCCTCATTAATTCCACAGGTATAGCTCTGCATCTTATTTTGACCAGGAACAATTAATCTCTCCTCAGCTTAATCTGCATTACAAAGTTCACTTTTATTGATTTCCATCTTAGGAGACCACAGTTTCAGTTGCTCCTCCCTATTAATTCTTTCCTTCGCTTACACGAGGTTGAGTATTAGGTTGTTCCATCCATTGACCATCTCCCATCCTATCCTCTGGATGCTCAGCAGGTCTGTACAGGCCATGAACAGTCATTCACTTAGGCTTTGATGTGGATGTGACTCCCCAAGTTGTGCTTGTTGGCCTTTTTAGTTCTCCTTTCTAAAACAAAATGTAAAAGAGTAAATTAGGACGTGGTATTCTCTGTGATCTCTAGTCACGTCTTCTTAAGTAGCAATTTTCGGAAGTAAATTCCAGGGAGTCAATATTTTAAGTCTACCAGACCTGAGGCCCTGAACCTAACTGTCACCTATACCTGGGCACCTGAGCATTAAAGAGAAAAAACCAACATGATATAGAAAAATGTTAGTTACATGCAAACAAGTGGTTAGAATAAGATGGAACTTGGAGACATTGTAGAAAATAGGTCTACCTTTCATCTACCTTTCATCTAGCGCCAATACTCCACCTTTGTGTGGTACCGTATCCTCACTATGCTTTCACTTCTCTAAACAAATGATTCTTCCTACCTAGTATTTCCACAGAAGGAGCTATTTTCCAAAAGGGAAGTGAGGAAACCACTACCAGGATCTTTGTATGGTTAAAGAGGGAGGGAAGGGCCCAAACCACAGCCTCTCCCTCCACAACCCACACAAACTATGTGCTCACAGCTTGGATTTGAGTGCCATTACTGTTGGTTTTATATGCTCACTCTGCAGGATATGGGGTGCACTTCAGGATATGGGATGCACTTCTGATTCTTCCTCATAGCCTCTGTTCAGAATTGGGGTGGAATGAGAACTCATTGGAGGACACTGGTGACATGTTAGAATATGAAATAAGGGTGTCTGGACTTCCTGTCACCACTGCAGCACAAAGGGCATAATAGATTGTTCCTTCTGACTACAGAATGTAGAAAGTGGGTCATTTAAAGCATCTTAATGGAGAGAGTAGATTTGCTATATTCACCTTGTGTTCCTCCTAGATCTTTATTTTATTTTCCAGAACTCATTTCATGTTATTATCACTATTTGCTGAATATATTAGTTGAAATGGCTCTGCTCTTCTGACCTGTGATTGAGAGGTTTGACTCTCACGATCCCATGGAAGTTGCCTCAACTGAATAGAGCCAAGAGGATAATTTTGACTGATTATTAGAGGCTGGAGTGGACTGAACTTTACTGATTTAAGTACATAAAATAGGAATGTTCTCTCACTAGCAGTTCCTGACAATATTACATGGCTCAGGTTGCCAATTATCTTGATTAGAAATATTAAAGAGAGAGAGGAAAACACTTGGTTTGGGAACCTCATCAAAGGTGTTTAAGGAAGGCCTTATAGCCAAGCCCATCTGAATGTCGGATGAAGTTTTTGTCTGGGAAAGGTCCTTGGAAATCTCAGCAAACACCCTGCCCCCAATAGCATCTCCTGGGCCAATAGTCATATATTTTCACAGTTCTCTGCTGATCCGGTGCTCAGATCTCTCAGTTTTTCTTCCCCTCTCATAGGGTCTATGTTTCCAAGTCTGTAATATGTAATGACTAAACTCTTTATGCCCCAATTAGGGAAAATTAATCTATCTCATACCCAAGGGTAAGAAGGAAAAGGAGGCATTGTTAGAGAAAGAAGAGGAAGGGAAAGACCAGAAGAAAGAGAAGGAGAAGAGAAAGATGAAAAGTAAGAGGAAAAGGGACCTATAGTTTGAAGTTGAAGATACTTTAAGGACTGACATGAAAACCTGTTTATTTTATGTAATCCCTAAAATCATGTTATTTTGCTCTGCTTCAGGCCCAACTCTTCTTCCTGACGTGACCCCAAGATCTCCTAGTTCGACCCTTTTCCCCCTATTATCCTTCCTCCACCCCCAACACCTCTGATCCTGTTTTCTATTCCCACTCTTTTATAATCTCAGAAAGGACCCATTCACTGCCCTTATGTCTTCTTGAATGAGGTAAATCCATGCAGTAATCTGAGACCTTCTTGCTCTCCTCTTTCAACCCTCAGAGACTAAGAATTCAAGTATAATTCAGGTTTGTGATTTTAAGCACCTGTGTCAGCAGTAAAAATAATGTAGTGTTTCACTGTTGTTGTTTTGTAATCTCATTATTTTACCTATGTTAATGAAGCTTCTGGAATCCCTCCTTTCTGATAATTCAACAGAATACACAGATTTACAACCCGTTGTTTCCCCCACACCCCTCCACAAATGTGTAAATCTAGAGTGATAACTCATTTTGGGCCATGGAAAGTGATTTTTTTTTTAAGGAATGTATCAATTTAGTAAAGGTGGAGATACAAGAAGAGAAAATTAAAATTCTCACACAACCCTTTCTATCCCAAATTTCTATCATTATCTTTCCATATTTTTAAACAAAAAATAATAAGTTACTATAAAATCTGCATTGAACTCTTTCTATTTCATGTGTATTCAGAGCTGGGTCCTTCAGCCCTGACAGCAGCAAGCAGCTTCTGAGAAGACCTGGAGGTGAGAACCTTCTGAGGCCCCTACTGGGGACACTCATTTTGGCTTAGCTTCTCAGATCTGATTTCCCTGATGATGCTTTCAACTATCCAATTACCCTGACCCCATTTCTTCTGCTATTTCAAAGATAATCTCTCCTTTTTATTATTTCAAGGCAAATAGAAATACCAGTCTTCCAGCAGCCATTAAATGTGAATGCTTCAAGTTGAGGAGGGGAAGGAGGATAGGAGAGAGACAGAAAAGAGCAGGTCTTACACTGTGCTCCCTTCTTCCCCCATCACACCCAGGATTCCATCTTGTGTTAGGATCCTTTTTTTAAATGTCACTTCCCTATACTTTATGCTCTACATGTAAATATTCTGTGACTCCTTTAGGTAAGGAAAGAGAGTATTTTATTTATACACTTTCGTGGACAGGCATGATAATAGTTACCGCTCACATTTATTGAGCATTTACCATGCGTCATGCTCTGTGGTAACACCTTATATCTCCAATTTCATTTCTTTCCTCCTATACCTCTATGAGGGGCTCACTATCATTTTGAACCTTCTAAAGATGATAGAACAAAGGTGCTTAGAGATTAAGTAACACAGCAGATGAAAGAACCATGACTGGAATTCGGGCATTCTTAGCTACCCCCATATAAAAGAACAGGATGAGATAGAGAAGGGAAAAGATTTTTTTTAAAAAAAGAGGTCGAAAGGGCAAATTAACATAAGCCAAGTTCATGGGAGTGATTATTAATTGTGTGGGAAATCTGAAATCTACCTACAAAAACTCAACAGTGAGTGTATTGGTTTACAAACTTAAACAACAGACTCTAATACCTTCACCAACAGTTCTGTTAAAACCATAGGATTTTTAACTTTTTTTAAATCCTCACCAGATACTACTTTTTCTATTTATTTTTTTTTTAAGAGAAAGTGGAAGGGAGGGAAGAGGGGGAGAGTGAGAAAGAGAGAGAAGGAGAGAAACATTATGTGAGAGAGACACATGGATTGGTTGCCTCCTGCACACGCCCAGACCAGATGCAGGGATTGAACCTGCAACCAAGGAATATGCCTTTAACGAGGATTTGAATCCACAAGCCTACAGTCTGTGGGCAGATTCTCTAACTACTGAGCAACCGGCCAGGAAGGAATTTTCAACTTTTAACTCAGATTGTCCAAAGATAAAAATAATGTCTGCTCCCCTCCCAACCATGTGATTTTATTCATAAACATGATATGAAACAAATTGAAAACGGATATGTCTGACTTTATGAAAGCTCTGAATACATTGTCTTAGTTGTTTATTAATTGTTTATCAAATGATTGTCTTGTGGTTTTCATAGCAAGTTTGAGAGCAACAGACAAATCTGTAGTAAGGAGGTAACAGTAAAACTTTCCTATCACAGAGGACAATGGTCGATATCCTGTTACCTGGAGCCCAGTATTGATAATGGTAGTGATGGAAACCCATTTGAGCTGATAATTGTGTCAGGTCAGTCTGATTGAGGACCCCAGCAGAATGATAGCTAAGTTACCATTGACTTTGTATTGAACACTCCAGGAGCATTCACCTGGAGAATGGGCGGGGCTCAGTACAAGTATCCACAACGGAGGGAAGTGCTGGGACAAGTGTACTTTATCAATGTTAACTGTTTTATCAAGTCCCTCACACTTAGCTGACATCACCCTCAACTTCCTAACTGCAAAAGACTAATGCCACAACATTTTTCATTGAATAATTTCTGTTATAACATTAATAATGATAATGATTAAAACATCATTTGACCATTAAAATGGGATAGATTGGAAAATGATATTGTAAATAAAAGAAAATATGCACATTTGTAACATAGTATAGTTCTTAATGTGTACTAATAATATTAGTTTTATACTAATAGTAATGATAATTAAACATTAATGAGTAATTCCTGTGCACCAGGCTTTGTTTTACATACTTTACACTTATTTAGCCTTGCTTTTATAGATGTAAATACCATCATTATTCTTTTACTACATAAAAGAAAACTGAGAAACAGAAAGATTATATAATCACCTAGAAGTAGATTATTCTTAAATAAATAACTCCTAGGAGGTAAGACATATTCTAAATATAACTCTACCTTTACATATTGTATTAATATTTGAGTTTTTATGCTTTGCTCTGCAAACCAGTGAGATACAAAATAAAGCAAATATAAATATATGAAGATCCATGATTCTAAATAAATGTTATTCATTACAAAATAGTAATTTTGAGCAACCTATTTATTGATTCCTATGATGCAGCTATTGCCTAATATATAACTACTCTAAATTGTTTTCATGATAGTGGCATGGTAAAAAGAATCTCCTCCATGGCATCAAATCTTAATCCTTTAAGAAAGAGATCAGCAAACGCAATTAAGGGCCAGATAGGAGCTATGTTTAACTTTGCAGGCCATAGAGTTTCTGTGGGACTATTTACCTCTGCCACCATGATGCAAAAAAACAGCCACAGAGAAGCTATAAATGAATGGGTATGGCTGTAACACAGTTAAATTTAATTTACAAAAGCCGGCAAAGAATTTGACTGTTTAGGTTAAGAGCATAGTTTCTTCTTTAAAGGTGAATTTAAAGGTTGTTACTATTGTTTGGGGGAGAAGCAATCAAATGACTCCCAGACAGGTAAAGGCCCATATGAAAAAATAAAAGGAAAGAATATGAAGAAAGAAATGGTTATAAGATATTACTATTGATTTCCTGTGGCTTTAAAAGTCTTTTCAGGAAAATACTAATAAAAGATTTGCTAAAGAGCTATTCATAAGTGCATGGTCTCTTGAGGTGATCAGTTTGAAGATGAAAATGCTTGCTTTTACTATATAATAGCGCTGTAGTATGTATAACCTAAAAGTGAAGAACTTTGACTTCAAAATTTAAAATGTAATTATGCGTCTTCCTTATTGTGTGGTATACTTTAATTGCAAACTTTTGACAACTTAACATTTTTACTATTTATCATAAAGAAAATTTTAAAGTAATTATACTAATTGTGATTTTCAGAACATAAATAAATAATAATGAAGTTTAGATGTAATATTTTAATGTTTCTAGTGAGATTTGTGTTTCCCATGATGGGAGCGTTAGTTAAAATGCCATTACCAGATGGAGGCATCTTGTCTTCTGTTCCACCAAAAATGCTATTTCTTCTAGTTTCAGCTGCGGAATTGTAAACGCTTCTTGATGATGGTGTACAGTAGCCCCCTCTTATCTGCAAGGGTGACTAAGACCCCCAGTCAATGTAGAAGCTGTGGATAGTACCTAATATATATACTATCTATCCTATGTTTTTCCATATACATACATACCTATGATAAAGTTTAATGTATAAATTAGAGACAGTAAGAGATTAACAATAATAATAAAATAAAATGATTATAACATTATACTCTAATAAAAGTTATGTGGATGGCTTGGGGACATAATTAAGTGAAATAAGAACTATTTGAGCAAAAGCACTGCAATACCTTGACAGCATGATAACCAAGAAGGCTACTTGGTGGCTAAGGGGCAGGTAGCATATACAAGACTACGCTGGACAAAGAGAGGCTTTACATCTGGGTGGGACTGAGCAAGATGGCTCAAGATTTCATCACCTTCCTCAGAACAGCATGCAATTTAAAATGTGTGAGTAATAAACTCTTCATTTAATAGGTTTGGACCATGGTTGACCTCGGAAAATTGAAACTGCAGGAAACAAAACCACCAAAAAGGGGCAGCTACTGTCATCAGTTCCTGAGAGCACATTTCCTCGCTATAGTGACTCAGATGATTGCATATTTCCCTCCCAAGTGTACAAATAATTTTCTGCTGCTCCAGTGATTCAAGAAATGTCAGATTTTACTAGGCACTTCATGTACATCTGTTTTATGCTGAGTAGAAAACTTACAAATCCCCATCTTTCTCTTTCCAGGGACGGAAGCAGCTGTGAATCCAGCTGTTGGAATTCACCTTCCAACTCAAAACCCTGAACTGTATCATGTTTCAGGTTTCAACACTTCAGGAGCACCTCCTCCATATGAAGAAATTCTGAAATCAAGCCAACTTTAGCTATGGATCATCAATTGAAGAGATTAGAAATATTTTTAAGACCAAAACATCAAAATTAGGGACAATTTTTCTCATTTAGTGGGAATTCCAAGAGATCAATTAATATAGCCTTGGAAAGGACAAATAGACAAAACAATGAATGTAGGGGGAAAATTTTGGTCAGAAACATATTTTAGTAGTATATTAGTGGACTCAATGAATAACTGCTGTTACATTTTCTTTTGCTATATCTCTAAGTTAATGTTTCTCCATTAATACTCATCGACAGTAATTAATATGTAGTGATCTCAATTAAGTTTAGGATTCCACTCTAGTACACATCGCAGCTTTCTCTGCCTAAATATTTCTGTTTTAATGTGATCTCTCTCCTAATATGGAGTCAATAAAAATTGTCATAATTTAACAATGATGCAAACAGATATTCAGACACATCCAGAGCCAGAATCAGGGAAAAACAAAAAGTTAGAATAAATCCTCAAAAACGGTTAGGCTATGAATAATACAAATGATTAATATTAAGTTTTAAAATGGGTGTTATTCATATTGACAATCTAGGAGAGGGAAGAATGTGTGAAGGAAGGTGGCTGAAAATAATGAGAAAGCTAAATCCTAACCTCCAATGGTGGGAAGTCAATGAATAATATCTAAAATTAAAACAAAAATCAAGAAATAATGAAAAGTACATCATTTGGAAATTAGATTGAAAATATCTGAAGCAAAACACTCAAAAGTTGAGAATAACTCCCTGAAGAAATCAGCTTTAGAGTTAATGTTATGTGGGATTAGGTGGAGCAGAATAATGCTGTGTGTGTGTGTGTGTGTGTGTGTGTGTGTGTGTGTTTATAATAAGCCTATAGTACTATTTGACTTTTAAAACTAAATGCATGTGTTACTTTAATTAAAAAGAAATATAAAATTAAACAAATAAGTTTTGACAAAGTGATAGCTTACAATTGAAGACAAACAGGAAATCATGCTATGTGGAAGAATAAAATGTTAAATGTAAATGTGTTTAAGTAATGGGACTACAGGTGATTTAATATTTTATTTATTTTCCGAATTTTTTTTCATATCCTATAAGTTGTGTATTTTAAAATCCACTTCAGAACAGTTTGTGGTTATAATTAACACTTATAAAAGGGTAAGCACATTTGGAAATGGGACTAATGATTCAGCAGCTGGAATTGTCAGAAGTTAGTGCAAGTCCGGGTTGAAGTGACCGGAATTTAGTTTTAAGACAGTTGCATTTACGTGTCAGAGCAAGTCTAAACAAACTACATGCTTAGCCTCAGGTCACTTGGTTTATTTATCCAGGTGAGGAAGGAAGAGTGGGGACAGGGTTTAAGCAGGTGAATAGGGCTGGTAGCAAAAAGACTTTGCTTTCATAGAAACTTTTTTGACAGATTTCTTATTAAGTACCACAGGTTACATTTATTTTTTAAATATATTTTTATTGATTTCAGAGAGGAAGGAAGAGGGAGAGAGAGATAGAAACATCAATGATGAGAGAGAATCATTAATTGACTGCCTCCTACAAACCCCCCACTGAGGATCGAGCCCACAACCCGGGCATGTTCCCTTACTGGAATCGAACCAGGGACCTTTCAGTTGCTCTATTCACTGAGCCAAACTGACTAGGGCTACATTTTCATTTATTATCTAAGAAATACTGAATGACTATTATATGTTAATTATTGTACAAGGTCTGAATTTTCCCCCAACATATTTAGTATTTTTTAAAAAAATGTTTTTATTGATTTCAGAGAGAAACGAAGAGGGAGAGAGAGAGAGAGAAACATTAATAATGAGAGAGAATCATCTATGGCTGCCTTCTGCATGCCCCACACTGGAGATAGAGCCCGCAATCTGGGCAAGTACCCTGTCTGGGAATTGAATGGCATGATAGATTGATGCTCAACCATTGAGCAATGCCAGCTGGGCTTGTATTATTTTTAATGGTTCTACAGTTTCGATCACTTGGCTTTTACTTCCAGACAGAGACTTGCAAGTTCAGTAGCCAATGCTCTTTATGGTCTACTAAAAACTACTGCAAACAACACAATAATAACACTAATATAGATTATAGGATTATCATGACGATAAAGAATTCTGTCATCTCATCCAACCTTTGCATGCATTGTAGTTCATCAGTAAATTGTTAATATTCTATTTAACCCAGTGTCTCTGCTTTTAATTCTGACAGGACTATATTTTTTTCCCCTCCCATGTTAAAGAGCATTCCTTTTTTTCCAAATGAGCTTTTCTTACTGCTAAAGGTGTAGCATTTTTGAACATCCAGCAGAGGGCATGCAAGCCTATCTGTGATTCTAGCCCATTAGCTAAATTTTATGTAGTGGTTAAATGAAACTATGAAGCTGGATTACTATTGGTGTCAAATTTTTGACAGAACCTAGAAGAATAGATTAATCATGAGCTTCAAATTTTCAAGAAGAATGTAGGGCTTTAGCTCATATTGCTCACAAAGAAACAGCACCTGGAGAGACGCCTGTCATCAGAGAGTCTAGTAAATTGGAAATATACTCCCCCTTCTAAGGATGACACTTATGAGTTAAAGGTGCCTGTAAAGGCAGGGTAATTTGTATTTAAATGCTCTCATGGTATGTGATCTCTATAGCACTGACCCTATAGGTCTAGCCTATTTCTTTCTTACCTGACTAAAGTTCCTATTTAATTTTCAGTTTTGTAGTTCCATTTTTTTTTCCCTTTGTGTGAGGAGCACAACTGTTATAAAAGACAACTTTAAAATTCAGTATCTTGCACAAGAATGAAATAGAGCTGGGATAGGACTGAAAAGCATTTGTATGGACAATGAAATGAAACTCAGCCAGAATATTATATTTAAGGCAGAAAGTGAAATACTTCAGGGTTGTATAAGGAAAATGAGACAATGAACATGTGTTGGCTATGAGACCCCACTTTCAATAGAGAATATTTTTAAAATCAGAACAGAGTAAATAGAATACACATTCCAAATTAATTTTGCTTTGTGATTTAAACAAACAAACAAAATATAAATATATATAAATTATTAATACTGGATCCTGAAAAATAGTATAGTTATTTTGTTATTTTAATAAATATAGTTCTGAGAAAATGGAATGTAAAATGGAATAGTTTAGTAATAAACAAAATCATATATAATAAAAGGCTAATATACCCTGGTGTTCAGTGCCCTCCCATAGGGAAAGCACCGCTTAGCCAGAAGCCAAACTCACAGCTGGTGAGCGCAGTGCTGGTGGCAGAAGCCTCTCCTGCCTCTGCAGCAGTGTTAAGGACCCCTCAGGGGTCCTGGACTGTGAAAGGGTGTGGGCTGAGGGACTCCCCGCCTCCCCAAGTGCACGAATGTCATGCACAGGGCCTCTAGTTTATTTTTATTTGTGTATTTAGAAAATAATTGTTTTTTATGCTAAAATTTATGCCAGTCTACACTGACTGATTCATGAAGCAAATAATGAATATCAATCAAGATGTCAGATTTTTATATGAATAAATTGAAAAATGGTATTGTTCAGAAGCACTGAAATTATCAATGTCTGCAGGTTGAAATTATCAATGAATACAAGTTTCTTAAGTTTATTATCTTGTTTATTGAGTGAGGGTTTTCTCCTTAGAAAATCTGCTTAAAGGATACAATAAGCAAATTAAGAGAATTTCCCTTTCTCTAGAACTTAATTTAATTGTCTCTCAATATTAAATAAATAGTCAGGGTTTTTTTCCATCACATATGAAAACTGAAGTCATGTGTCAATTCAAATCATCCTTCCTTGGGTGTCTAAATCTGAATAAATTTGTAACGGTAAAGAGTCTTAGGTTCCACTGACTAATTTCCTTCCAGAGTTAGAAGCATGAGAGTTACTATTTTATTAAAGAACTAGAGGCCCAGTGCACAAAAATTAGTGCACTCAAGGGGGGAGGAGGGGTCCCTCAGCCCAGCCTGTGCCCTCTCTCAGTCTAGGACCCCTCAGGAGATAAGGACCTGCTGGCTTAGGCCTGCTCCTAGGTGGCAGAGGGCAGGCCCAATCCCAAGGTGCAGCCCCTGGTCGGGCTCAGAGCAGGGCCGATTGGGGAGTTGGGGCGCTGGCCCCTGTCATTCACAGAGCAGGGTGGATCAGGAGGTTGCAATGCCACCCTCAGTCACGCTCATGGTAGGGCCGATTGGGGGGTTGAGACACCGCCCCGTCACATTCAAAGCAGGGTCGATAGGGAGGTTGCGGCGCCACCCCCTATCATGCACAGAGCAGGGCCAATCAGGGGGTTGGTGCGCTGCCCCTTGTCACTCACAGATCAGGGCCCATCAGGGAGTTGGGGAGCTCCCCCCGTCACGCACAGAGCATGGCTGATCAGGGGGTTGGGGAGCCGCCACTCTCATACTCAGGGCAGAGCCGATGGGGAGGTTATGGCTCTACCCCGTCACACACAGAGCAGGGCCCGTGGGAGGGGGGGGTTGGGTCGCTACACCCTGTCACACACACAGAAGGGCCAATCAGGGGGTTGGGGCACTGCACCCTGTCACACACAGAGCCGCAGGGCGATCAGGGGGTTGGGGAGCTCCCCCGTATCAGGCACAGAGCAGGGCTGATCAGGGGGTTGGGGCGCCTTCCCCTGTCACGAACAGAGCAGGGCAGATAGGGAGGTTGTGGCCCTGCCCCCTGTCACACACAGAGCCTCAGGGTGATCAGGGGGTTTGGGTGCTGTCCCCTGTCACGCTGATCCCGGTGCCAGGAGGCCTCGCGGCTCCGCTGATCCCGGTGCTGGGAGGCATATTACCCTTTTACTATATAGGATAGAGTCCTAGTGCACAGGTGGGGGCCGGCTGGTTTGCCCTGAAGGGTATCCTGGATCAGGGTGGGGGTCCTCACTGGGGGGCCTGGCCAGCCTGGATGAGGGGATGATGGCTGTTTGCAGCTGGTCACACAGCCTTCAGGGTGGCGGTCCCACTTGGGTGCCTGGCCAGTCTGGGTGAGGGGCTGAGGGCTGTTTTCAGGCTGGCGGGTGACTGAAGCTCCCAACCGCTCCTTTTTTTCTTTTTTCTTTTTTATTCTGGGCCAGCTTTAGCTCTGGCTCCAGCTCTGAGGCCTCTGCTGCTGAAAGCAGGTATCTGGTTTCTTTGGGTTCTATAATCAAAGCACTGTATCAACTCCAGCTCTGAGATCCTGGGCCAGCTGAAAGCAGGTTTCTGGGGTTTTGTTTAGCTTCTATATTTGTAACAATGTTTCAAACTGCAAGCTCAGAGGCCGGCAAGGCAGGCGGGGGACGTTGGTTTCCTCCGTCACTGAAGCAAGCAAGCCTCATGTTAATTTCAAGCTTCCTGGCTGCTGGCCGCCATTTGGCTGACAGTTAATTTGCATATCTTGCTGATTAGCCAATGGGAAGGGTAGCGGATGTATGGTAATTACCATGTTTCTCTTTTATTAGATAGGATATTGAGACACAGATAAGGAAGCCTAGGGATTACTTCTAAGCTATCAGAGGACAAGTGCATCTTACCTGATATCATATGAAATAGTTGTCACCTGTGATAAAGTCAACAAAATAGGTGAGTGCTATATGAGGAGAGTAGGACAAATGAATGGAGTATCAATATCTTAGGTATGGCAAAAACATTACTGGGGTGCTAAGGTCTTTCTGCAGATGTAAAGATTTTGTTTGACTTTTTTA